ACCAAATGACCCTCCTCCACAAATCAATCAATCACCATGAAAAATATCTCTTAATCCCACAATACAATCATTCCTCCCCCTACAGACCATAAAAACACCATTTTCCCCCGAATCTTACACACGACAACCAATCAACATAACAAGAAACCTCGCCACGTCCATCAATAATCCTGGAAATCCCAACGGCTTCGAGACATACTTCCATCATCCCCGAAAGAAATCCCATCAGCCGGACAATCCACGTGAGTCCCTTTTCCTAATCATCGATCCGCGGTTGTTATTGGCCACCGTGAAAGCTCGATCGAAACCGTGGCTGCACGCAGAAATTACTCGACGAGTTCCCTGCCGCTAATATCGGGAAATATGAAATATCGGCCGGACGATGCCGATTGAATTCTAGAACGAGCAGCTTATTGAACCCTGCTGACTTTCTTTATTCCTAGCATTGATCGAGGTTACTGCTGCTGGTGTATGTAGTTGGAGAGGATCGACGACGTAGACGACGACGGTATCTTTTTAAGGAAACGGATCTCGAAGCCGACGAGCTGGGTCAATGGCTTCCCGTTACAAGCGGATATAATTCCATAAGTCAACCTTGTGACCGGCGTTCAAATAAATATCGATCGAGGAGATCGTTCGCCAAATGTTTCCCCGTCGTTCTACTGCCGTAGACAGTGGTGTTCAGGCGTTGCCCGTACGGGCAGTGATTGGGCATATCCGGGCATAAAAAGCTCGGCGAGCAACAAGCCACGCCTTCTCGGGCAACGTATGTATGTACTGTCCTACGCTGAGAAGATGACGAGCGGAAGGAATGCGGGTCTCATTGGCTGTAAAGGACATTCATAAAGCCGGATCACACGCATTTTTATTACTAATCTACTAATCCATCGCGCGAAGGTGAGCAACAAAGGTGGAGCGAGCGGCTTACTCCTCTTGCCCCTGTGTTCGTCATCTTCTCAGTGACGCATAGTGTGTATGTATAGTAAGCACAAGCGTCTTTCCCCTACTCCGCTGTAATGTATTTGACATCACTAGTTTGCGACTTTGCCCTTAGCTCTGCCCGTGATTTTTCCCTCAGCTCTGCCCGTGATCTTTCCCTCAGCTCTGCCCGCGGGCATCGGCGGGCGCCCTTGCCCGCCAGAAGGGCTGCTGAACACACACTGGTCTACGGATAACGATCTTCCTCCGTAGAAAATGCAAAAGCATCGATTCTGTCCCGGCTCAACAGCCCTTGGTCAGCGACTTTATTGAATCTCGTTCGATGCGCGGACGGAGAATTCTCGATTTTCAGCGAACAGGTGCGCCACGACCGTGAATATTGCACGGCTTCACTGCTGGACGCTCGACGCGCTCAATGACCGCTTTATTGTGACATACGTCGATTTTATGTCCCTCCGAGACACTGTCTGGCTAGGGACTAGGGTGTGTCTGCGTGTTCTGAACGTTGATTTCGGCTGGTTTTATTTCACGAAATTTAGTGTGTGGAATAAAGAAGTCTCTTCAAAAACCGTATGAAATTTTTCGAAGGAAAGCTCTCCAGAATTTTAATTTCCAACGCTACTCGCGACAAACCGTTTGACAGCCTGCCAAATGTTTCCTATCGCTCTTTCACACTCAACATTAGTTCTGTTATCATTTCACTTCACATGCTCTCAGTTTGAGGAACACGTTTCTCCACCGGAAAAATTGTCAAAGTTAGAGAAATTTAACGTGACGTAATCCTCTTCACTTAAGCTTTGATGTTCTGCCAAAACTCTTAATCTGCCCTACGACACAGAGCGCGTTAGTCGCTAAACAGAACGATCCGACGAAAAACAGCCGAGCTCTCCCTATCTCTCCCTCTCTCTCGAGATCATCTTATCGTCGTATCCACGGCGTCAGCTAGAAGCGACGTTTCCTTCATAACCACGTCTCTTTTGCAGTCCCCCTATCTCTGCAATTATTACAACCAGTGGTTCGTCCGATCCTAGAGCCGCGGTGCTCGTTTTCAGGATGTCATGCAAAATTCAAGGAGCAAGGATAAGGATCGTTTATTCTTTCGCGAGTTAGCCTAGCCAGCTTCCCGGGAATTGCTTCTCACCCGGCTCCAGCTTAAACTTTAAGTCCGCCGCGATTGTCTGGCAAACATTCGCACCTCCTTCCCAGATTGATTCTGACTTTGAAATTCATCTTGCGAAAGTCGACATACTTTTGACACATTTTTCCCAGTTCTGTTTTTGCCTGCCTTTATCAAGCCGGTGGTGCAATTGCGCTGGAGAACTAATTTTAGTTGGAAAATTTGTAGCTTTCCAAGGTGGTTTGAATGGGTTTCAAAGAAATACTATTGACCCATTCTTCTATTCTATCCTTCTCAAGGTTCATAATGTGCCATGAAACAATTTCTGTGTTTATTTTTAAAAGTCACAGTCTGTATTAGCGCTCAATGCCAACATACGTCAGCTTGTTTTCAGTTTTGTTGATATTTTGAAAGTTACAAAAAAGAGCGAACTGAGTGACTATAAACATAAGTTAGTTCTTTCTTTAAGAACAGGGTAAAAGTCAGAGAGGAGCTG